GAAAATAGAATGGTTGAACTGCAAAATTGAAGTACTAAAAAATAGCAAAAATAGAATCGACTTGCTGGTTTTTTCTTTTTTTTTCCTTCTTTTTTTTTTTTTTTTTTTTTTTTTTTAACACCCGCAAGAACGGATAGGATAGGCAAATAAAATTTCTGGCTTAGTGTTTCTTTGACACATTGTATTTTCTCGTTGATCAGTTTTGCTAATTGATTGGTCTTGAATCCGATCACTTTCTCCTTTCAGTTTCTTTCCCACACATGGGATCATATCAGGGTCCCTGAAGATTAACTTTCTCAATCTCAACCCCGAAACCATGTCATGGATCTTGGACCCATTCATCTCAAAACTCTGGAAAACCTTCCCCTCTAATTACCTAGTGATTTTGTATGGACCTGTCCACCTTGGCTCGAGGCGTCTAGTCCATTGGGTCTCCAAGGAACTGTCATACGAGTGTGAAGCTGCTTGCCATCACACACCACACAACATGCAGGGAGGGGACGAAGGGTTTTAAAGAGAATGATGGTGTGTATTGGGGTACAACCTGTTGAGTCAGGAGGAGGGGCGCGGGGGAGAAGAGGTGGGACTGGCGAATCCCATGGAAGGGGGGTCATGTAAGAACAGCGGGGAGGAGGGAGAGGGAAGGCTTCAGAGAATGGTGGCCCATGGCGAGGCGAGCGGACGTGGATGGTGGGTTTGGGACACGGGGTGAAGTGATTTGCTGGATGTGTTTACCTCCCCATCTCTTCGGATGATGCCTTCCTCCTGTTTAGTATGTTCACTCTGATACACCCTCGCCAACCAGAATAACGACAACAACTGTTATCCCTGACTCCTCTGGAAAAAGGGATTGACAACAAGCGGGATATACATAGGCTAATACAAAATTACAACTGAGAAAACGATAACGACTGTTACCCTTGACAAGAGAGTGAGATTGATAACAACGGGATATACACCGCTTAATTCAAAATAATGATTGCCGTATCAAATGGGCCTTTGAACTCCTGCCGAGAATTTACTGGGGTTTGCCTCGATCTTAGGAAAGGTCTTGGCCGACCCCCTTTTTCTTTTGCCTGGTATTTCGGCCCTATCCGAACTTTCCGGACCAGACGTCTGCTGCAAGTCTGGACCTGGACCGTCTGGATGCTGGTCCAGACGCCCGGATCATAGCCATGGGGTGTATGATGAGGTTCATGTAGGGCGAAAGTCTATTGGTCACAGCTTTGGCCACCATCTTGTAAGGCCGGGCGAGGAGATTAATAGGTCTGTAGTTTCTGATCTTCTCTCTGTCCGCTTTTTTGCATAATAAAGTACTCACCCCTGCCCCATAAGCCCCCCAAAAGATCCCTACTTTTAGGCTGCCCCTCAATAGTCCATGATGCCTTCTCACATGAGTTCCCAGATTTTAGTCAGAACTCTTTCGGGAAAGAATCCAGGCCTGGGGTCTTTTCATCATCCATGTGCCTTAGGGCTTTCCATATTTCCTAGGATAGTCATGGGGAGCTCCAATGTGGCCTTTTGCTGTTGGGTCAATCTTGCATTTAGGGCTCCTAGCAGGGCTTCTGTAGCATGGTAGACCTCTGCCTGGTCCTTTTGTGCAGTATGTGATGTGAAAAGGTGATTACACTAGGCTTATATTATTTGGATGCGTAATCTGATATAGGCGTCCCTTGCCACTGGTCCGAGAATGGGTGTATTAGAGCTGGGACTGTGTTGGACCTGGCCCTTTTTTTCTTGTTTTTTATTTTTGAGATATATCCACAGGTGACCGGCCCCAGGTAATTCGAGATTATTATGGAAGTTGTTGTAGACTATATGTCATGATTATTGGTTATCGAGCTTCTGCTATGACATGTATTGAGAGTCAAAGCCTCTTGAAGTTCGCAGCCAGGAGGCTGCGCTATACCCGGTTGCATTTTTGGCGCACAGAGGGTTTCCCGATCGGGAAATGCCGACAACCTTTTGGGGGGTTTAGAGCAGCGTAGAGGGCGTGGGAATATGGAGCAGAAGGGTGCGGTCGTTATCATAAGGCTGACCGGTCGTTTAGGCGGTCGCAGCAAAAGCAAAAACCCAACAACCAGCGGTAGCCTGCAGAGGTCGTTCAGGTGTCATTTTGGACGGCGTCCAGGGGTTTCTTGTTCGAGAAAGTGTGGAGGGAACGGGAAAATAGGGGGGCGTTTGGGAGGGGTGGAGGGTCAGCCCACAGCCGACTGGTGAGTCTTGGAGCCGATACACGTGCTGACAAGTTGTGACAACAAAGCAGGAAAAGAAAGAAACAGCCCTTCATCTTTCCAGTTGCTCGGGGGAGATTCATTCTCACTTTGCACGTTTGGTGAGGTTTTTTTTTTTTTTTTTTTTTCGTGTTCTAACAAGTTGTGACAACAAAGTAGGAAAAGAAAGAAACAGCCCTTCATCGCCCAGTTTCTTGGGGGAGATTCATTCGCACTTCGCACATTTGTTGAGTTTTTTTTTTT